TACCGATATGGTGGCCGATATATCGTGCATCCCTAATTTTCACCACAGGGGGTCTTTACACACACAACACTTCTTGAAGCACCTGAAGTCGTAATTATGTCAACTCCGACAACTCGTAAATACGAACTTCCCAGGAGGACTTGAACACACCATTAGGACATTTCATTTCAACACACTGCACGGTTTCCGCCAGTAGAGGGCGCTTGTCCAGCATAATCAATGGCATACATCCAAATCAACAAGACAGAAAAAAGTGAAGTGAAACGCAGAAGTGATGGAATAAACAAAGCTTTCCAAAGCTTTGAATCAATTGGACCAATTTCTTCACGAAACGATTCACTGCTCTGAAGCGTTCAAGGCACCAGTGACGCCTGCTGGTCAGAATAGTGTAAATGCAACAGAAACTCAGGCCAAACTGCTTAAAAACTGCTTTTACAAATCCCATCTCAGAGGATCAGCATGATTCAGTTGTGACGAAACAAAGCCTTGTTTACTGAAGTCACGTGACTTGATAGGCGCTTCGAACCAGTGATTCGAAATAAAAGATCTTCGGAGCCGATACCCGATATGAATATCGGATCGGCGCATCCCTATCATGAAGTAGTGTTTTGAAAGTGGCCTTCACTAGGAACACAACCGGAGACTCCACTGGTATGAACAATCATTGTGTCTGATCATGATTGCAAAACACTAAATGGTGTAAAGAGGTTCAACACACTCTGGGATCTGATTACTGAAAGCATATTCTGAGGTATAAGTGTGCACCGATGTGAGAAGAGTGAAAGGGCCTGGACACAGCGCACCTACCTTGAAGTCCTTCATGGCGTTCTTCAGTGTTTTGATGGCGTGTCCAGCGTGCGTTCCCTCTATGGTGCAGGCGTTGCAGAGGAACAAGCGCTCATCCAGGCAATAGTACCGGAACATCTCGTCGTGCTCCAAACACTTCCTCTTCCTCATGTCTCCGAGCGGCTCCACCAGCGGATGCTCTCTGAACGCCGGCAGCTCCAGATGAGGCTGGACGTGCTTCGGGCACATGGACACTTCACACTTCAGGCAGGTTTTAACCGCCGCCGGACCCTTCCCGTCCTCGCTGGCGTCCTCGGGACAGTAATCGCAGCGAACCTGGACGGCTCTGTGAGACGCGTCGCTCCGGCTCTGGGTGGAGCGCTCTGATTGGCCACGACGGCGGAAACCGTCAGCGATGTTGGCCAGTTTGAAGTTCTTCTGCCAGTTGGCGGAGCTGCGGTGACTCTGCCGGCACTCGGGACATCGCAGACGGCCGTGGTCCGAGCGGCTCTTGAGTCTGCGCAGGCACGGCAGGCAGAAGTTATGGCCGCA